CTGGGAAATAAATTGCATGTTTATTTTAGATCTGTGTGGCAGCAGCAATATACAGTAAATACTGTATATCAATAAATCCACTGCTCTCTTGTCTCCTCTGAGGCTGGGCCTCTAAATCGTGTTTTGTGCTTTTCTGTGCAGACAATTACAGAACAGTTAGCATGTTTTGCTCAAACTTTCACCATTTCTTTAGATCTGGTACACTGTTGTCGCTTGCAAAATAAAATTGATGGCGCCTTGGGTGGAAACTTACAGATTAAGGGGCGGTAATATTATAATGAGATCCCTTTGCAACGTCACTAGGGGAGCGAAATCAGACGCGCTCGTTTTTTCAGATACTTGCAGAAAAAGGCTTACCAAAACAAAGTTACAGGGTTAATCTTTTTCACATTTCCTTGGTTGGCAGATGCACCGGGGACCTGATTATAGCACTTAAAACCTGTAAAAGTCAGATTTTCATGATATGTCACCTTTAAGGACAGTGCCTGAGATGAGGTCTTCAGGCACACCTGTGACAGACAGGTTAGTTTATGGTGTGTTTATGTAACACAGCTGCGGTTACAGACACCCAGGCCCCCTTTCTCAGCTCTTCACTCAGGGTCAGAGGTTGGCAGGCCCAATTTAGATCTAATAGAGATACAACAGCTGTACTGTTATTATTAACCCTTTAACGCGTACGATCACACCCGTGTGATTAGAACGTTCAGTGCGTCACATCATCAACTGCTGAATTCGCGGAGCCAGATCCGGGTCATATTATCACAACTAGAACTATCCAGTGTGTTCAACCATATAATGCTTATTTTAGGTTCCATACATTTAAATACACATAAGTACTAGCAAAACCATACATTTATAGTTTGTAAAAATACACGCTAATGTCTATGGAAACGGCAATAATGATCATTATAAATATAATCTGACGAAATGTTTTATTGATATCATATACACAAAGTGTAGGTAACAATAAAGTTACTCTATTTTTCTCCCAGTTCACCGGAGACTTACTTTAACATCTTTCGGGAGGAGAGGATGAATTTGCGTGTTGTAAATCTCACAGCTCAGATTCAGTGCGAACTAACATGGCGGCGCCCATCACCCGGTATAGATCAGCTAACACGGTCATTATAAAAGTGTTTAAACTACCAAATACATTTACTTGAACATATTTCAAAATCGGAATATCAGATATTTCATAATATAGTGAGCATGTTTGTGAATATTTAGAATAAAAAAGGAAAAACGAAATAAAAGCGATTCATGTGTCATACAGCACTATTGTGACTGCGGTGTGTCACATGACAAGCATGACGCGTCGCCATGGAAACAATAAGGAATGAAATGTGTTTATGCGGTTTAAGGTTCAAAAACACATTATTTTCCACATACTGTACATTATTGTTTCTCCTCTATGCCCGCCTTTCTGAAACACGTCGATTTTTACAAAGCTCATCGGTCTGAAAAGTGAGGTGTGCTATGATGACTTATACTGTCTTTTTACGTGTTGCGTTGCATCGCACTGTGTAAACATAAAACCATGTCAGATCTGTGATCGGAGAAATTACAAACAACAAGCACTACTCTACACTGCCCAAAAAACTTGCTTTAAATATATAAAATATAAAAACTCTTTAAATATAAAA